GTCACGAGTTTATCAAAAATGGCCTATTTAATGGGTTTTGGGGTTGATTTTTGATTAGATGTTTTATAAGCTTAATTGGACCGATTTTGGTCACGATTTCCCTAGTTAAACCGGTTGGGTTAGTTCGATTTTTAAAACATAACTCTTCGTATATACCATTGCTTGATTTGATAAACCCATGAGTTTGACTTTTCCAAATTCCCAATAAAGACCTCGAACTAATAAGCTTATGTTCATTTATTAAAAAATCGCATATTAATTCTCCAAAAGGTGCTTTCACGAAAGCCTAAGCCGATCATTGGATGGTGTATGTCCTTACTGTTGAAGAAAGCAAGAACGGGATTCGCTAGGTGTGAAATCCTTTTGTATTCGAGGAGTTAGGGGTTTGTTGGGATGCCTCTAGTCTTGTTTTTATAGTAGTAATCTTACTAGGTAGCAAGTTGGCTGGCAAGTCATGTAGCCCAGGCATAAATTAAGGAATTATGTTCATGAGCCCAATATGAAATTAGGCCAATCTTCTATCTGCTTCAGATAGGCCCTAGTTGATTGAGGATATTTTTCATGGATGTTTTTCATTTTTCAACTTTTTTTGTGTTTGATTGCAAAACTTTTCTATGGAATTCATTTTCCATATTTTCCTCACACACGTGCATTTTCCTTATTTTGATGGAAAATCAATTCTCACCAAAACGGTAAGAATTGGCTTTCCACCTCCTTCTTCTTCTTTCTTTTTTTCACATGACAATGGGAATAAATTCTACGAATAATTATAAAAGAGGATGTCCCTTAAATTGATAATTTTCATGTAAAACAAAACTAAACGAATATCAAAATATAAATAATTTTCAAATCTTTTTTCTTTTTTCAATGGAAACAAAAACAATAAACAATTGTAGAAGTAGATATTCCTTAAATTGACAATTTTCATTGAAAAAAGTCAAACGAATAGCAAAAGACACTTTTATTTCAACATTTTTCAGGCGAAAAATTATACTAATCAAACGCTATTAATTGACAATTCACAGTAAAACAATTTCTAGGTAATTCAATTCCCTGAAATTCGTTTCTTTCCACCCAAATTCTATCTTTGCATTCAAACGGACCTTTAGTTCAGCCGATTCTTCTCCCACCTAAATTTCTAATCAATCCTTTTTATTTATTTTCAAATTTTCTAAAAAAAAAAAAATTTGTTGTTTTACTTTTTACCGTGGCAACTCTAAGGGGTAGCTCAATGATCAGATTTTGAGTTTGTTCCCCAATAATCACCAGTTTAAGTCCTCTCAGGACCACTGAGGTGAGTACCTGACTGTAAACTTCATAGCTCCATGGAATGAGCCGGAGTGCGTGTTAGCTGGTTCGGACACCCACGATCATTAAAAAATATATAATAATAAACTTTTTACCGTGGCATGTGTTGCATTCCGACCCTAAACTTAGAGCTAGGGTTTAAATTTTCCGATTAGCTATGAGGCAATAGATGATGAATGTGTGAAGTTCTAGGTTTTGAGATGTTATTTGTTTATGGGATTTGAATGATCGAATGAAAGGTCAAGGTTTTGTTTCCGATGATTTTGGTATGTTTGGGAAGTCATTTTTATGAAAAAATAATACTATCCAGCACCAGGTTATGTGACATTAAATGATAGATTCAATTAAATGTGAAATTATATTATTCATATTAATATCAAATCTCGTATGAGTGAGGTTTGTGAGTGTCTAAATTTCATAAAAATAAGTTTTGAGACTTTCTGAGACATTTGTATATCTGATCAAGAACTTTGTCGACCTAGTATGGACGCACTAATTAGGTCTCATGGGACTCGAAGTTTAAAAATAAGTTCAATAATAATCATTCATGAGTACCATCATTTATACGAGTCTTTCAATTCTTACACGAAACTCCAATTCACGATAACTTGCTTACTATTATGCATGGAGCTTAGTGACAAATTTTAGCAAAGTGCAGAGGGATGCATACATGGGTTTGCCCAACTTTTGATTGAATAAAAGCCTTCGCAAATGATTTGCAATTTCTTTGATGGAAATCATCAACCAGCCATGTAGGCCAATTTATTTGCTGTTTCAAGACCTTTACTGAATGGTAATACATCTCAAATATCATTTGAAAAGTCACAATATGGGATCAATGCATTGTCGTCTTCAATGAGTAAATATTTCTTAGGACCACCTCCTAAAGCAAATGTAGTACATCTAACGAGAAATGCCTAAATATAGAGGATTTTTGGGACACATCAAATCAATAGGACAAAGTAGACGTGTCAAAATGCGTCAAGTTATTTATAATAAAGATGGTTTGGTATATTAATGGGTCGGTCTAGCTTCTAACGTCCAACCCTATAATAATTAGTGTTGAATTCAGCTGCATAAACTGTGACTCACCTAGTAACCTAGATGTAGAGGGTCAACGGGTCGAGCGAGTCCCTTTCTCCATGGCGGAGCCCAACCCGTCCATCTGGCCCTATTTCTATATGGCCGAAAACTACAGATCCTTCAATATTTTATAAATACAACTTTTTGAAAAAGAACAAGAAAAATATATACAATCATGCTTGATGTACACCAAACTTGGCAGTTTGTCGCTTGGCAAATTGTCATTCGCCAACTTAAATACAAAATAGTTTTTCCGCCTACACATTTTGAAAAACAATGGAACTGTCAACAATGATGTAATCCAAGAACGTACAAATGGTAAAATCCATATTATATATATACGAAAATGATCCCCTAAGTATCGGTACTTAGCTTATGTGAATTGATGAATAAATTAATAGTAGGTCACATATATTTTATGCTTAGGAGATCATTCACATATATATAAAATAGCACTTCCCCTCTCAAAGCTTTAGAAACGAGATTGTGGGGTCCTCAAAATTGGAGTTCAACATTTATAAAATAGCACTTCCAGTGCACCTTGTGATTGGATAGCGAGCCAAGCAACCGACACCCTTGACCCTATCTGGCCCATAGAATTGGGAGGCCGACCCCATCCAACTTTAGAACGGTCAAAGCCCTGTTGCCACTCCCACCTAGATGAACCTCTTAAAAACAGAAAAATAAATCCATAATAAATCAAAAAATAAGAAAATTTTTGAAAGCCTTAACCCTTAGGGCATATTTTGTCCTTGTTTGATGTAAATAAAAATTAGATTTTTAGTATATTATAATAAAATTGATAAAATTTGTAGTTCAAAGGTTGTGGATCTCATGAAACGTGTAAATAAAGTTAATTATTGGCTTTAACTTGAGATTTTAAATTTGATTTTAATCTACTTAGATCATCTTCATTTGTGGTGTAAAATTGGATATAAATTGTCATCTCTAAAATCATTTTTGTATCCTCATTTATAACCTGATGGATTTAAAGTCAAAATTTTCTCCAATTAAAAAAATCTAAATCCATTTTTTGCCTCTTGTGAATGTAAAAAAAATGTAATCTTTCAAAAAATACAAATTGCACTTCCTTCGCATATATTTTACTTCGAAAATCTAAATCACAATTTAAATATATTTTACATAATGATTTGAGATGAGCCTAAAATAGGGGATTTGAGGTTTCCATAAAGCATAGATATTCGACTTGTATCAGAGCTTGTTTGGTAGGATTTTAAATCAATTAAAATCAATTTTTTGATCGTTATTTCACTATTTCAATCGTTATTTTTTAATTCTTCTTTCACAGGTGAATCCCACATTATTTTTAATAGTCAAAAAATCAATTATCAAAATCCCTATCAAAATGACCTTGGAAGTCTTAACACTAATCGAGATTTGAGAGTACTGTGGCAGTACAATCCTTCACTCATTGCAATGGCACGCATTTCCAAAATGGTGAATGATCCTACTTGGGAAGTCCACATATTAAAATCCCATGTGATCAGTACTAAAGAGTAAGCATTTGCGCATAATTCTTAGCATATCCCTTTGTGTTGCAATAATAGTCAATTGTGTACGTATTGGCTTCATTACTCGAAAGCGACCTAAGTGTTTGATAGAATGTCCCAAAGAACGCCTTCTGAGATAGTTACTGTTTACAGTTTATCCACTATGCTCAAACAGTGACTTATCCTTTCCCTCGGCAACGGTAAAGATTCGAAAAACCCATGTTCAAATGGTCCTACCTGTCTTCCATCTTCATCAAGACTCTTTATGATGAAAATAATTGATGGGGTTGCCAATTTCTTTGGGATTCTCACTATTTATCAAGAAACCAACGCGGGTTGAACAGTGAAAACTTGCACCCTGGTTTTAGGTGTGGGCATGAAACTGTTATATCCAAATTTGTAGCTGAATAAGTACATTGCTTAATAAAATATAAGACAAAATAAGTAGCTTAAACCTAACCAAACATGTCTCAAACATTAATAGTCAGTTTATTGATAATCTGGTGTCATTCGAACCAAAATTCTTTATTTTAAACAAGAAATGGGAAAAAAATTTCAAAGCCAAATCCTTTTTGGCACATAGGGATCACTCACTGTCACAGCGTTAAAAACCTAAAAGATTCCACTAATTCATCCAGTGTCAGGTGATGAGCAACTACCACATTTAAGTATATATTTTACCAGCCAAAGCAGGTTTAACTGATCAAGATCAACACAGCACTTGTGGAACACAAGTAAATATTCAATATAACAGTGAAAATTTCGCCAGCGCAAAATCAATCAGGGTTTCGAATCCTTTTTCTATGGGAACCCTTTCCTCGATATCTCACAAAAAAACTCGAATTGCAGCCAAAAAAGGTCCACAAAGGAGACATATAAAGAAGATAAGATTCTCCCACTCAAATCCACCAAGGAAGCAACCCCACAACCAGCAGTATTAGCACCAACCATTTTCACAAGAGCCAGAATATGGTAGGTCAATCAACAAAAGTGTGGCCTCAGTCTCATGGAAGGACAGCAAACAAGTAGAGTCATGAAAGGTCCACTGTCTCACATCAAGATAAACAAGCCAAAACATAACCATGCGTGAGAGAAAAATGAAAGGGAAAACGCGATCAATTTATTTGGAGTTTAGTCAGAGAGATTCCGTCAGTACAAATATAGATAACAAATCAGTACATTAGAGGAATACAACACGTTCTAATTAACTTCTTTACGGCTAGGACGAAAATCTAATTCATTGAACATGAAAACTAAGACCTGCTTTCCCTTTCCTTCTGTTTCTGATGATCTGTTAGTATATGGGTAAGTTAAAAGCTCTTTTATGATACAGATCATTAGTCTACAGTGTAAACTGGCTACCCTGCTGTTTTTACAAGTGACCATTTAAACCTGCAAGTTTCCTATGATTTTTCGTAGTTTTCCCTAGTATTAAACAAGAAACTGCAGAAGTCTGGCAAAAGCAAATCTAAGGTTTGAGTTTCACCCATTCATAACGTCCCAGGAGGGGCTTGTCGGTCAAGGGATCAAAGTTGTACCTGCAGAACAAACATATTAAGATTAGAAAAAACGAACATTTTTGACCAATTCAGCCACATCACTAAAAATTTTGCGGAGAGACAAGTACTCATACTTCTCAACAAATTGCTTATGCAGTTGATTTTCTGCACGGGAGAAAAACTCATTTATTTCATTTGCAGTCGGAATGTCTCTTAGCATCGGGTTTTGCATTCTGCTATTGGCATCATCTCCAGTGGTAGGCCTGTCACTAGAACCAGAAGTTCTGATGGCGTCTGAGTCCCTAATCAAGCTGCAAGGCGTGCTTTCTCTAGTGTTCCTGAACAATAAGAATGTTAACCTCGTTACTATTACTTACGAGGGACAAGAAATTATTAGTTTTATTATATTTCATTTCATTCTCATGACTCATCTATGTCCAATCATGTGACACGTGCCCATATTCATTTTCAATTGTAATATGTACCAGACTTCAGAATTAAGACTACAATACCATACAACGTGCTACAACAAATGCAAAGCATTTAATGACCATGACATTTTACTTGACCAAGCATCTACAGTAATTGCAAACTTGACCAAGTATGATACAGAAAGACATCAGATCAAGCAAGCCACTGAAACTTTATTTTCCTGTTGGCTTCCTTCACATTAAAACATGGGGTGGTGGCAACCTCAAATTATATAGTTACTTAATTTCTTTACCAGATTGTCTATGCTCAGGTTTCTTGGTAGAATTTGAGCTTAGGGAGAATTAGAAACAGGAAGAAGTCAAATAAATAGTATAAGGACGGAAGCAAAGAAGGGTTATAAGGCATTCAATAACTGCAGTTGACAAGATATCGTAGCTGAAAAGAGGAAATAGAAAAAGCGGAAACGCTTAACTTGAGGTAGTATTGCATAAATGACAAGAGTTTTTCTGTAATTGCATCACCAAGTAATGATTGGAATAAAAACAGTTGTGCAACTGAAAAAGATTTCGGATCACGAAAGGTGTTATGTTATTAGATTCCCAAAAATCTCAAAACCTGATAGAAAAAAGTACAGTTTAAAAACCGCACAAAAATGAGGTCAAACTCGAATATGATCAACAGAAGATACGAAAACTATTTCCCTTTCGTTGCCTAGCATTTTCTCGACAGCATCCAATTCACTTTCCACAGTTTCTCTTATCAAATTCACAAGAACCAAAATGAATAAGTTTAGAAATTCATTTAACTTTCAGTCTGTTTTCATCAGTAAGAAATTTTAATTTGATTTTACAATTGTTTATGAAATTGATGACCGAAATCAATTTTCCGGTAATGTATTTTTACTATTTTAAATGTATAACAGAGTAAAGTCTTAAGCTTCAAAAGGTGATACATATAATATGTATTTGAAATCATAGCTAAAACATAACAGATTGAAGATCCAAATGTAATTTCCAGAATTTCTCATCCCCCATACAGATTACATAATTTACCAGAAGCTTCGTGGAAAAATCACCCTAAGCATTTAAACTTGGCACTTCCAAACAAAAAGTGCATTTCAACAAACTCAAAATTTCCAAAAATTTTCTAAGCCCCAAATACGGAGAAAACCCTCAATCAGAAATTACCTTAAGTAATTTATTATTCAAATATACTGAAGTAACAGAAGCCCCTGATATTAGTTTTCTCTAAATTTCTCCATCAAGAGCATAGATTAAATTTAAAAAAAAAAAAAACCCAATTCACCAAAAGAGATGAACATAACTCAATTTCAAGGGTGGGGGAGGCGGGGGGGGATGGAGGTCGAATCCTTACATGCAAATCAAAAGACAATAAGAAAATGAAAACCCATATGCGACAAACCGAAATTCACCAAAAATATTGAATCTTTCAACATACAAAAGCAGAAAATAGGCAAATAAACAAACAGTTATAAAAACGGTTCTGAAAAATCACCTTCTTTTGTCTTCATATTCGAGCACATTTTCTCCAAATGAAGCCTCCACCGAGCTTTCCTCCCGTTTTTCCTCCAATTTTTCCTTTTCCTTTTCTTTCCCACGATTTTCCACGCTGTTGGGCCCCACTCTAGCTTTGTTTGAATTTGGCTCCTCCAGGGAATGGTGTTTCAGTCTTTTCGCTTCTGCGACAACTGAGGGTGCGGGCTTCTCCAGGCGTCTGTTTCTCAGCTGCATGTAACACCCATCATCACAGCCTTCAGCCGGCGCCGTGGCGACGGCGGAGGAATTCTCTAGGCGTTGAAGGGCTAGCGTTTTAGACCTCGTCCGGACCCCAAGTGAGCATTGGGCATGACTCACCGCCAATACTCCTGTTGTCTTTGACTTCCTTATGTACTTTCCCATTTCTTCTTCTTCTCTCCTCCACTAATCTCAATGTGCCTCGTTCTTGTATGAATGTTGGCTTTATCAAAACAACATTCTATAAAGTTTATGACGGATTAAGAAAGAGCCCAGGTGGTAGGTTGATAGGTGTTTCTGTGTATGTTTCTCGCTTTCACTTGTTCCTTTGGAGACAGAAACAAGAGAGAGTATTTTGCAGCTCACGGTTAGAGAGAGAAAGGCGGTTCTCATATACAAGGAGAGTAGAGGACGAGCGGGGATAAAATTGAATATATCGGCACGACGGCAATTTTGTCTCATAATTCTTTGGGAAAATTGCAGTCACAGTACCAAACCTTTCATTTATTAGTAGATTTTATCCAAATCTTTCATTTGTGCCACTCACGGTACCGAACCTTTCAAAAATCATCGCTTGGAGTCCGAATGAATGGTTTTCGTTAGTTTGACTACCAAAACTATTAGTTGACTCTCAAAATTTTAAAAAAACTTTATTATTTTCCCCAAATAAGGCAAGGACATTTTGGATAAAACACATTTTTTCTATTAAATCAAAAATTTTAAAAATAAAAAATAAATCCACAACCCATTCCCATTTCCTTCTTCCCCAAAATCCAAACCACTCCAGCCGCCGTCAGCAACCACCACTACCCACCTAAAACCACCACCACTAGATGGCTCCACCTCACCTACCCAACGTCGGCGCCATCCACCATCCACCGATAGTAAATATGAGGACAGCCCGAACTATCATCCGCCATCCACCACCCACCTATCCACTGTCGATCACCACCGCCACCTTATTTCAGATTGTGCTTCAATTTCACCTGAATATATATCCTTCGCCGGCCACTCCCATCACCATCCACATCACCGCCACAACCTCCAGCCCAACGCCTTCTCATTACTAGGCATCACCACCGCCTCAAAAACAGTAGCTCCATCAAGCATTCAAAGTGAAATTGAACCTTCAGCTCCCTCAAGTAATCGAAGATTCACTCCACCGTCACCATCAAACTGCCACTATCACCATCTCTTTTCTTCACCACCACCACTACTTTCATTTACTAGAATAACCATTTATACCACAACAATAGCAAATCATCAAAATCAAATCTAATTTCAAAATCAATTTCGGTTGTTTCAGATCTGAAGTAAAGAAATCTATAACTCTTTCGTTCTTCCATTATTGGTGGCAGTGGCAGTGACAATGACTTCTGGCCTGGAGAGTTGTGGTGGTCAATCACTTAGGTAGAGGTGGTGGCAACTTTGTGGCAAGGAGGATTGTCTGGGAATGGGGAAATAAGGGATGGGTTTGGGAGGTAATTATTTTTATCTTTAGTGGTGGTCGATCGCTGGGTGATCCTGGCGTTCGGTGGCCGGGACGGCGATGGAGGTCGCTCGCCTGGATTGTGGCGGTGGCTACGACTTTGGGGCAAGGTGTATTTGTGGAATGGGGAAGAAGGGGTTAGGTTTGGGTGGTGGGTTTGTTTTAATCTTTTTATTTTTTATTTTATTGTTAAATTATATATATACCCCTTTTACCATTTGAAATTTATTCAACAATTGGTCAGATCGTTGACCTATACTCAACTAACAGGGCAAATAACTAAAACCATTCATTCAAACTCCAAACAAGGATTTTTGAAAGGTTTGGTACCGGGAGTGGTACAAATGAAAATGTTTGAGCAAAGTCTGCTAATAAATGAAAGGTTTGATACCGCAGTTGCAATTTTCCCTAATTCTTTCCATTTGGATGCAACTATTTGTTGTTTTTTATTTGGTTAGGGTTCGACAAAACTCTCCGTATTGAATTGGAACAAATTCAATTCAAATTGTTTGATTAGATTTGATTCTTCTTCGATTAAATATTAGAATGGGTACTAGAATCAACAATCAATGGATTTGATTCGAATTTTAGTTCTAATGCCTCATTTGATTCCCATTTTTCTTAAAATTCATTTTTCTCTCCTTTCTTTTCAACCACACATTCTTCATTAAAATAATATTATACGTAAATCAAAAACTTTTCATCACACATTCTCTATCAATCTACTATTCTAAAATTCATTTTTCTTAAAAATGAGTGTCAAACTCCATCTAAATAAAGACCTAATAAGAATTGAATCTTCTTAATTTTCATATATTATATAAGTCAAATTATTTTAATTTTTTTCCAAATAAGTTTGTGAATTAACTAATTAAGTGATTAACTATAAGTGTCCAAGGTATCAACTCCAAGGGCCAAGTCCAACTTGAGCCGAAATATTTTTTCCTACTAATTTTAGATCAAGTCCAACTTCACTTTACAATTCACTTCACACTCACTCATTCTATAATTTAAGTTTAGTAGTTGACATCGTTTTGTTCACCTTTCGCATGTCACAACTTCATCTTTGCTCCTCAAATTCTACACTTATCACACCATCAAATCCTATATTCAATTAATGTTAGATTTTGCGTCCCAAATTAGGGTAAATTTTTTGGAAAATATTGTTTTCTTATTTTCACATGATTTTATTTGGAAAATATAATTTCCTTTATTCCACTTTATTTTTTATATTATTTCCATATTTACGATATTTTTAGGGTTTGGTATGTCCATATAAATATGTGGCTCTTTATCCTGTTTAGGTGAAACTTTATTGCTGAATTCTTGTATTCTCTCCACATATTGTCTTTAATAAAACATTGATTTCTCTGCTAGTCTCTCTTCAATTTCTTTACTTTAATCTTGTTTTTTTTATCATTGTGATCTTGTCTATATCACATATTTCATATTGTGCCATTAAATCTCAATTCTTGCATCGCCTTTGGGTCCAACAAGTGGTATCAAAACTAGGCTGCAGGTTTTTCATGCTTTGATTGGGATTTTTCAGATATGGCTACATTGAAATATGATATTCCGCTATTGGATCATAATACAAGATTTTAAGTAAAGATGAAGGATGTGTTAGCGCAGATGGCTTTAGACGATACTTTACTGGGTTTCGATAAAATGTTAGCAAATTGGACAACGAAAAGATTGAAAGCCTTTATCGCAGATTTATCTTCACATTTCCAATAACATTCTACAGGATGTATTGAAGGAGAGAACAACGACTGTTTTGTGATCAAAACTGGAGTAGTTGTGTATGACCAAAAGTCTTACGAGCAAACTGCATCTAAAGCAGAGGCTGTACTCCCATCGCATGGTAGAAAAAGGATTATTGGAAGACCACCTGGCTGTGTTCAAGAAAATCATCGTGGATATGGAAACATTGGAGGTCAAGTATGACGAGGAGGATCTGACCTTGATCCTGTTATGCTCATTGCCCGTTTCGTACTCGTTGTTTCGAGATACGATATTGTACAGTTATGACACACTTTTATTCTCAGAGGAGAAGAGAAGCATCTAGTTGGAGCTACATCTAAAAATGAGGAAGCTCTAGTAGCTCATGGTGATCGACGGAGGAATAGATGGAGGGTAAACTTTACCAATTTGTATTGCTTCTACTGCAGGAGAAAAAGGACATTTTAAGAAATATTGCGATAAGTTGCAGGCTAAAGAAAATTTAGCTGCAAATCATAGGAGGCAATCATGTAATTCGAATGAGACCAATATTGCTGAGGACTTTTAGATGTCAGAGATGTGGTGTTGACCATATTTGACATGAGCTCTAAGCCTAACGAGGAGTGGATTCTGGATTCAGCAGCACGTTCCATATGTGTTCCAATCGGGACTTGTTTGAGGCATATGAGGCGGTTAAGCAAGGTAGAGTTGTCATGGGAAACAATCAATCTTGATGAGTTGCTTGAATTTGCCAAATCAGATTGAGGTTGCAAGATGGACAGTTAGAATACTTGGCTAGGTTCGACATGTTCCAGACTTGAAAAAGAATCTTATCTCACTGAGTACTCTGGATTCAACAGGGTATAAGTTCTCAGATAGAGGTGAAGTATTGAAGGTCAGAAGGAGGTGTTCGGGATGTACTAGAAAGACGGAAAAAGTCTCAGTTGTACATCTTGTAGGGGCGCACAGAACCAATTAGGAGATATCTAGATAAGTTTGGTACTGTGGTGAAAATTCAATTTGGTACAATACCTCTTATAATGGGCTCTGAGTCGATTCAGAACAATGCTAGGGAAAGCATTGGTGATTCCGCTTTACCACCAATTTCAGCAGATAAATTGTGTTCATATGCTAGGGTTGGATCCATTGAGCGCAAGTACGATGTTGGAGATGTTTGTAATGCTTTCGGGATCCTTGAAGATGACAGTTCTAGTAAGGGGCCTTCTGATCAAGCATTTTGTATGTATTCTGCTACAGGGTGTGCTTCGATCCTATTTGGACAATTTTGAATTTCTCGTTGGAATTTTGGGAACCTGAGATCATGGTTCGGGTGTCGCTTGTGAATGCTGGGTAGAGAACGATGTTTTTTGTGAGGTGAAGAGTTTTGATTACTATTTGAGGAGCTTGGTTATTTCAATGCAGTCAAACATATTTTTCTAGGTCGAGGAATTTTGGAGTTTTGTTCGTTGCACTGGAATTTGGGTTAAGGTGGAAATTGTTAGATTTTATGCCCCAAATTAGGGTGGATTTTTTTGGAAAAATATTGTTTCCTTATTTTCATGGGATTTTATTGAAAAATATTGATTCCTTATTTTCCCGTGATTTTATTGGAAAAATATTATTTCTTTCATTCAATATTATTTTTTATATTATTTTCATATTTTTGATATTTTTAGGATTTGATATGTCTTTATAAATATGTGGCTCTTCATTTAGTTTAGGTGAAACTTAGTTGCCGAATTCTTGTATTCTCTTTACATATTATCTTTAATAAAATATTGATTCTTCTACTAATTTCTCTTCAATTTCTTTATTTTAATCTTATTTTTTTTATCATTGTGATCTTGTCTATATCCCATATTTTATATTGTATTATTAAATCTCAATCCTTGCATCGTCTCTGGGTCCAACAATTAATGTAGTGTTGTAAATGTTGAAAAATTAATTATAATACAGAACTGAATGAAACTGAATCATAATTAATAGCCTGTTTGTTTCTCATTTTCATTGGTAAAAATGCATTTTGCAATAGTGATTGTAGAAAAATGTGTGGTTAAAAAATAAGGAAAAATTTTAGTTTTGCGTGTAATATTATTTTATTAAAGAGAGTATGGTGGAAAATAAAAGAGAGAAAAATATATTTTGGGAAAAATGGGTATCAAACAAGGGTTAAATTAGGATCCGATTATTTT